CGCGCTCAGGAGCGGCCGGGCGCGGGAGCAGCCTGCTCTGGCCAGGCACCGTGGCTGGGAGCAGAGCCGAGCCCCCGGGAGCACAGGGTCCAGGCTCCTGGCTGGGGCGCCTGCCGTGCCCTACGCATGCCCCTCTGGAGGGTCTGGCCCAGAAGCCCAGCCCCTACACACACACCCCGTAAGGGTCAGCCCTGGACGCCCTGCGGGGCTGTCCGTGCAGGCCTGGCCATTCGCAGTGGCCGCGGCAGCGCCCCCCTGGGTCCCGAGTCTTGCCCTGAGCCTGCTGATCTTGGAGTATGGGGCACCCGCCCGAAGGACAGTCCCTGCCTGCCCCTTGCCCAGCATGGTCACCAACGGGAGCGCCCTGGTCACCAGGCCTCCCCCGTGCAGGCCTGATGGCCCAGAGCTTCTGGCCTCAAGTTTCATGGGGTGCCTGGCGTGGCTGGAGGGCAGTGGCCCCTGGCCACACCTCGGAGTTGGCTGCCTGTCTGGCCTGGGACCTCACCACTGCAGGGCCGGGCAGCTCCAGGGTAACGGGGTGCCAGGGGGTCGGAACCATGGGTCCCTGCTGGCAGGCCCTAGATCATGACAGTGGTCATCACAGCCGGTGCCAGCCAGATCCCTGCCCTGCCGCCCTCTCCTCCAGCCCAGCTCGGGGGCTCCGGGTGAGGGCCAGAAATGGGGTCGTCTCAGCCGGGGCGGGGGGTGAGGGCCTGTCGCTCCCCTGCTGGCCCCCACCACAGCCTGGCACACCCTGATGCGGTCATCGCGAGGGCCGGCCCCCACGCAGGAGGCAGCGGTGGGGTGTGGAACCCGCAGCAAGGCCTAGGCAGGTGCCCTGGGCCGGCCACTCTGGCGATGCTGGGCTTGGGCAGCTAGAGCCGGGCAGGTGCACCTGGGAAGACCCCCCGCAACCTGACACGAGGCCTCCGAGGTCACCCCCTGGTCTGCAGCCAGAGCTGGGCCCCCCACTGCGGCAGGCCTGGAGGCCCTGCAGACGTGGGGGCTGCTGGCGGCGGGGTCCAGCCTTCTGCCGCCCGAGGGGAGTGGCCAGCCAGGCCAGGTGCTCACCAGGCGCCGGGGTGGGGGCACAGAGGGCCAGGGCTGGGCACCCGGCGGACCCCTGGTGTGAGGCAGCTGCACCCAGGAAGCAGCACGGGTGAGCTGGCGCTGACTGGGGGGCAGGGCGCCCCAGGACTCGCTGGGGTGGGAAGCCGGCGGGGAGGGGCGGGGATGGCCAGC